AAACAAATGGATAATTTAATTTCTATGAATAAAAACACAATTATAAACTTTCATAATTATTGCAATTATTATTTGCATATATTTAATTATCAAGTACCAAACAGTTAAAATTCTTGAAATTTGAATAATTTTTATATATGTATAGTATTTGATTATTGTACTCTCACATTTTAAACTTATGTCTATGTAATTTTAATTGATAAAATATGTTTAATAAAATATGTTAAGGAGAAAAATTTTTTTTTAATAAATTAGAATCAGAACAATTTGATTCATATGTGTTTTACAAATGTTTTAACTTGTATAAAAATTAATACTGTTACAACTCATTTACTTGAGAGTTTTCCAAATGTATGAAATATTGTAATACATACACAACCAGAATAAATACTTTATCAATGGTCCATAATCTTTCAAATTACCCTATAAGCAAAATAGCAATTGTATATGAGATTTGTGTGATATTACAAATAATTTCTTCATGCTACGTTTTTTATGTATTTTAATCGTCAGATTGTTAATTTCTATCTAGAATGTAAAAATTATCTAATAACATTATATAGAATACATTTTACAATATAAATTAAGAAGGATAATAATATAAATTAAGAATTTGTATTAATAAAACAAATTAAAAAAGAATTCATTTAATCGTATAAGCTTATAATATTTATTATTTCTTGTTGATTTATTTCATTCATATCGATTTTACTTATTTTGTTTATTAATACAAATTATAATACAAATTTTATTTTATTTAATTTAAAAAATTAAATAATGCATACATATATAAATAATGATATTTTAAGTATAATATTAAGAAATTGAAGGTTTAGCTAGGCAACCATTAAATTGATCAAATTCAATAATTAGTTTAATTATAAATATTGCATATTTATATTTTATAAGTCAAAATATTATATAACTATTTTAATTTTTATATTAAATTGCAAATATTTATTAAAAAATGAATAGTAAAATGTTATTAACAAGTTTATTAAAAATTTCTAGTTTTTAACTCAAATTATTATATAACTGTAGTAGATCATTGATAACTTCATGGTATGTTTTCATTAGCATAATTATATATAATAAAATCAGTAATTAACTAAATATAATATTTTTATAAAATATTGTTTTAAACGTGCCTTTAACATTTTAAATAATGAAAAATTAGAAATTAGCATGCAAAAATTCGAGGTATTGTTAATAGGTTTTTAACAAAAAGGAAATGAAAGAAAAAAATAATAATATAATAATATTCTACCATGCTTAAAAGAATTATTTCTATTATTATTTAAATAAACGATAATAAAATTCCTAATCAATTGTCAAGTTGTTTACACAATAACTCACTAGCTGAATTTGAAAACAAAAATTATTATCAACTTTTCAAATTAGACAAACATTTTTAACCATTTAGGTGTATAGTGAAGTAATACAATATCCAATTTAAATTATAATATAAATACAACTCAAATGTTCTCATCTAACAGATCATCGAAGTCAACGCGCCATTCTGCCGGTGGTGAGAGTTCCAAATGTTTTGCGCGCATGTACACGTTAGTATGAAAAACCTAGCAACTACAGTCCTTATAATAATGACACTGGAAGAAATGTACAACAATGACTTCGATTGGTAAAATGGGTCCCAATATCAAAGATTTTCAATATTAACCACACTCAATAGTTATATTATCCGATGGATGTGTACAATTTAATAGTATCATTAAAATATTTTTTAATTTCCATTGACTAAAATTTCATTTCCATTGCCTCTTAGTTTTGAAATTGAGAAAAATCGTGAGATATCCTTTTTATTTAGAATATTTTTAATATTTTATAAAATATGTTCATTAACAGATATTAAACTAATGCAAATATAATTTTTGTATTTTAAAAACATAACGATATAGTTTTTATATGTAATATAAAAATTTTTCATTATATGTATTATTTGAATTTTGTTAATATAATATAATGTGTTTACCTGCATTGTAATAATTAGATAATCTATATTATTTTGCAATTGATATTGAAATATATTATTACTTTATTTATATAGAGAACATAATGGATTTTTTAATCTGTATAAAATACAATTACACAAATTTTTTGTAAAATAATCATTTTATCTTCTCATTATTATCCCACTCATTTAAAAAGTCTTAAATTCTTCATCTAATGCTCCATCATATCGTTTTCTACGCAAAGTGTACTTTAATTACAATAATTTTTTTGTCTTTTATACTTGTCTCATTTACACTACGAAAGCATCTTGGAGCCTCTCTCTCTCTCTCTCTCTCTTTATATATATATATATATTTATATTTAACTAAATTTACTACTTGTTATTTCATAAAATATTAATTTATTTTTATGGTAGCTTGCATTTTGCACATTTCTTTCTAATGAAATACAAATTTAATGATTATAAAATAAGAAATATTTTCACTTATTTTAAAATTTAATTTTCCTTTATATCATTATATATATGTCTGTATTTCATATACTATCAAAATAATATTTTAATAAAATAAAACAATCAATATTTTTATGTGTATACAATAACAAAGATATTATAAAAATAAATTGATAAAGTGAAGACATTCTCAATTACATTATATTTGTGTTATAATATTCAAATTATTTTATACGAATTCAAAATCTTTATATTAATTCTTATTAATACATTTAAATTGATTTTCAATCATTTAAATAAAATTAAAGAATTACCTATTTATATTCAACATTAATGAATTACTTTTAATTCACATATAGTCTTCAAATATAAATGTTCTTTCAAATCTTTAGAATTTTAATTAATTAACTAAGTAATTAACTTTTTTATGTAATAAAATACAAATTACAAAATCTGGAACTATATGTTCGGGATCTACTCAATTTCACGAAGCACAATTCACTTATATTAAACTTAAAACATGGGCGACCGACGGGTGTCGAACTGATAGAATCCCTTCTCAGCCATGTGATATCTTTTAACGGACGAGTGTGCTGCAGCTGCGAATCACGATAGAGCAAAAAAGGAGTGGCTTCGTTCCCTAATCCAGTTAGGAATTTCGTCCATCTTCGACCGCCCAATAATCGAATCTTGCTTGCTTACAACCCTCGCTAAAGTTTACCCTTCTATTTCTTCTTTGATTTCATTTAAGTTACTATGAATAGTTGCAACAAGGAATTTTTAGAACACTCTATTCTAATCGTTTCATGTAATTATAATGGATAACAAAGTTTTCTGTGAACAACTAATTCCAACAATCAAACAAACTACGAATTAATATCGGATTAACTATATTCTGTGTCTTTATACATTTAATCTTTAATCATTGATAATGTCTGTTTATAAATATTCAAAGAAAATTAAGGTTTTATATACTGCAATTATATAGAAATTTTACCAAAATTTTAACTATGCTTTGGAACCACCAAGATTATATGGCAAATCATAGTATATATCTTGAAATAAATTTCCATATTCACCTTATCTCTTTTTAATAAAACTAATATTTATATTAATCTTTATGCAATAAAGAAAATCAAAATTAATTCGAGAAAAGAGTATAAAAAAAAATTTTTGAAAGCCATTCAAAAGTACAGACATTACATTGCACATTTCTACTTTTAAGAAAAGTATTTACATAAAAAATAAATTAATAATTACAGACTATTGAAAAAAATGGACAAAAAGAATAATTTCGACAGAAGTTACATTTATGAATTGATATAATATATGCATCATTTATATTCTATCTTACTATCTACCTACCTACCGACGTACTTACCCATCTACCTATCTTCCTACCTATCTATTTATCTACTTATCTATTTATCTTATATTTTTTTCAATATAAATCTTTTTCTTTTATTCTCTCTATCGCCCGAAGAAAAAAGGCGTTCATATTTTTTCCACCTATCTTCCTCATGGTACAGGTACACCTACGCTTTCAATGTGCTTGCTTATCCTTGCTATAAACTTGAAAAAAAGAGAGAAAAGGTGCTCAGACAGCAGTAAATGAAAATAAAAAGCAACAATGAACGAAGGAAAAATGAAATCCATGAACTTTATCTGAGGCTAATCCGGCATCGGGCCAATGAAAGCCGCCGCTGGGCTTTAAGCAGTCGCTCCTTCGCACAGGGGATTGACGTAGTCTCCATTGGCCGTGAAGGGCCCCTCGGCGACCAATCGGCGCTCGGCCGGCGGGCCTTCTTCAGGGCGGCCGCTCCCACGAGTCTCAGACATCCCCTCCTCCCACTCTAGAAATCCGAACAGTTGAGTCCTATCTATGTGCGAGGGGCCTTTCTTTGGGTAACTAAGGCGCCGCGGGCGCAGTAACCTTACAGTCCTCTTCTGAGACGGTTTTCTCGTGGCGTCTCCAAACGCTGTCGTTTGGGAAGCAGCACGCGTGTCAATTGCACGCGACTTAATACAGTGGCGGCGCATACTGTATCTATATCAATCTCTCCGTACATATACGTTCAGGTAAACAATAAGTTGGTAGTTCCATCCAATACATTTGTTACCATCAGTCTCTAGCCCTCCGGCTCGACGAATTTTCTCTGGATTGACAAACGAACAAAAATTAAATGCATCTATCTATTCAAACATAAAAATATATTGAAGAAATTTCACGAAATCTAATTGTGAAATTCATCCAACCGGATGATTTGGATAGATGGAAATTTGATTTTCCGTATTGTTTTAAAAGCAAGATGATTCAGAAAAATTTATTTATTAGTACTGATATTTGCTGAGATTAAACATTCATATTACTCTATTTACTTATTTTTATGAAAGGGATATTCATGTGGATTGAAACAAAAGTGTATGTGACATTATTAGTGAAAATCACGAGGACATTCGAGGATGTGCTAAAATTTAGTTTCAATATGAATTTGATGAACTGTTAACAGATTATTCTTTTAATTTAAATTTTCAAAGTAGAATAAAAACAATTTTTTATTATTCTAAAGTGACTAATTAAAGAATATAATTGATCCAATGCCGAATTTAGACTACTACAATACAGCCAGAATGCACCAAATGGTAAACTCTTTTCAAAATATTGATATTCTACAAATACTATGCAACAGTTAATATAGCAATATAATATAACAATTAATATATAATAATTAATGTAATGGTTGGTACATTAAAAATATCATCTAAATACAAAAGGCATAAATTTCTATCGTTAAATAAAAATATTTTTCAACAATATTTTGCATGTAAATATGTTGATATAATATAATATCATGTTTATAATTATTGATACATCATAAATATAATTCTCATTAGTAAATAGATAAATGTACTTTTTTTCTTTTCGACAACAAAGTTAAAATTTAATAAACTATAATAAAATAATAATAAATTAAAATTTCATTAAATATTGACTTACTAAAATTATTAAGAAATAAATAGCTTTATGGCTGGTAACTAATATAATTTTGAAAATATTTAATTACAATTCCATAAAATGCTATACGTATATATTCTTAAATATCGGTGAAATATTATTTTATATTGTGTAATAATTTAATAGTTATGAAATTAATTAAGTAAACATTACATGTAAATTTATTATTTTATTAAAAATTTCAATATAAATTTCTTTAAGCAAATGTAAAATAAAGAGAACAATCATTCATAAATAAGAGCCTCGTGATAAAAATTTTAAAATCAAATTTGAATTCCGAATAAAATAAATAAATAAACGTGTATTTCATAACTTACAATCTTATTTATTATTAATTAATGATAAATTAAGGATAGTTTATTTTAATAAATAAACAATAATTTTTTAAAAAGTCATTGAAACTTATGGTTAATTCTTCATATTAAATAAATAGATTAATTTCAGATAATAGATAATAGAAATTAGATTAATAGATCAAATTATTCATCATGTTGTACGTGTAATAGAATTAAATCAAATTATGAAATCAAAATTGAAGGAATTTATACATTTTTAGTTGATATCACATTTATAGAGAAATATTTCAAATTTCAATGATTTTATAATATTAAAAATAATTAAGGAATTATTAATAATTTTAATTTATACTAATTCATTATTAAAAAATCTTTGTTACATAAATTTTGTATGAAATGAAGTTTGTATTTTATAAACAAACATTTCATAATATTCTATTACCTACACTTTATTTCTTGATTAGAATAATTAAATATTTTTTGAGTATCTGCAATATTATAATAAAATAAACTAATTTTTAATATATTTTTTAAAATAACATTTTAATCCATTTAAATTTATTGTTAAAAATGATTAATATATATTTTTCTATAAGATTTTCATTTATTTCAATAAAATTTGAAGTTCAATCATTAAAATTATTTTTATTTTTAATAAATATCATATTTCCATGTCACATCGTATAAATAAAGAAATCTATTATTTTTTAATATATTTATAATGAAATATTTGTATATAAAAATGAAATTACTTAATCTGTATTTTAATTTTTTATCTCAAAAATAAAATTTAAACAAATTTTCTATTTGTTTTCGTTAACTATCTCTTCATAAGACACTCATATATAATTTAAAACTAATAAAAGAACATACAATAGATTTATCAACTAAACTTATATACAGTCTCGGGTAAATCATAAATCTGGGCTTTGCATTTCGCGGGCAATTTTTCCGAGAAAGTAAGGAGGGATAATATATGAAACTGCAGATAAAGGAGCCACGTGCCTTGGTTGCGTGACCATTAATTTTACTGAAGCAACCAAAACATTTTGCTTTTAGCCTTTTGAACTCACAACAGTTACACACTTTATTTATTCTCTTGTATCTTTGTAATTTCAATCTAAATCTTGTCACTAACAATTGTGTGTCTTCAAATAATATCATTATTTACGAGTTAAAATATTTTTTTATTAAGTTCTTTCCTTTTCTGAGTAAATTTTAATGTTTTTTAAGATGTTTGATGTAAACAAAATTTATGTAAATTAAAAATGAATGCTATTATATTTATAGTTTTACTGAAAATGATTACTTCCATGGTATATAATTAAAAAATTAAAAAAATAACAATATGCTATAGTACATTATACATGTCTTTTTAATTATAAGCTTAGTTCAGTTTCTTTTCATCCTCTACTATTATTATAAATTTTATTTAAGAAATGATTTGCACCTGTTACTTAAATTTATGTAGCTTCTGTAAAGTGGGTACAATTTTTACGAAATAAAATGATAAAATTCAATATTTAAATTACTCTCTCTCTCTCTCTATTATATTTCTTATATTAAATTCATGTCAATACATATTATGTTTATGTCCATATCGATTAAGTATACATTTTTTATTAAAATAACATTTTTATAATAATTAAGAATCAGAAAAAAGTGGTTTATATTTATATTATAAAACATACATAAAATAATTATTTTCGTTTAAAAATGTCTAATATGACGAATATCGTTACATTAATATTCGATCCATTTGATTTCATAAGAAAAGCAACTTTTACTTTTTATTTTTCTCAATTATTTTATTAATTTAATTAATAATTTAACTTAGTTAATATTTAATATAATAATATAATAATATAATAATATTAATTTAGTTAATATTTTTACATGTAGATCTGATAACAACCTACTCTGTTAACAGAGCCTGTTTCCATTTATAATTATTCGAAATTATTATTTCATTCCATGAAAACACTTCAATTCTATAAATATCTAAAATATAATTGAATAATCCAATTCATAAACCATTGATATATTTAAATACACATATTTTATATATATAATTTTAATTAAATTAAATCATTATTAGGACAGCTGTATTTAATTTATATTTATAAATTATATACATTAGTATATAATCGATATTAGAACAATAAGTCAATCTTATCAGAACAATATTTTTCTCTAATATATTGTAAATCTTAAACAGTTTCCTATTTACGAAAAAAAATTATAAGTAAACCAACTTGTAAATTAGTTTTTTATCTTTATATTGATCACTTTTTCATAATAATTCGCATTAAATTGTCCATATATAAATTTTTTCACTGCTATCATGTTCTTAATATGGCATTATATACCTCGTTTGAAGAACTCTATATTTAAATAGTCTTACTACATGAATCTTGACCATCAGAATGAAAATTTATTAAATATAGAAATTGAATAACAAAATAAAAATAAATAAAATATTACTATTTCATGAGTCATATTGTTATTAATACTACTTTAAAATTTATAAATTTTTAATGTTAATAATTTTTTAATTGAAGTGCATTATAAGAAATTATTAAGTTGCTTATTACTGCAAATACTTTTTATATACACATATAATATTAATGAAATATTTACTTAAATTGCTATTCTATTCCTGTATAATACACAGTTAACAACAAATGAAGTGATATTTGAAAAGATAATATAAATTCAATATTAATACTAGATATAATTTAATTATACTTTCGAAATTATAAACCATTATAAATTTCCCGAAATTAGAACACTTGTTTGCTGATAAATCAATAGATACTGGTTTTTTTTCAAAAAAACATTTTGGATTGTGTTAAAATAATATTTCTATTATATGTCAAAATCGCCCATTATTTCAGTCAACTTAGATATATTTTTTCTAACCCCGGTACAAAATTTCGATTGATCTTCAAAAATATGTTTTCCATTTCAAAGCACCAAATAAAATCCTGTTTTTACTGTTTGTATTTTGATTTTTCTCATGCTTCGTCTTTCAAGGTCAATATATAACTTGATAATAAATTTATAAGACATTATAATATTCAAATAAATAACTATTCTGTAAAATTGAAAACAACGTTTTTATATATCTAGAACTGCAATCGATAAGTTTAGAGGTTAATATATATTACCAATAAATTTTTGTTATTTCTAAAACTTTTGAAAAATGCATGAATAAAAATTTCTTTATTATAATACAAAATGACCAGTTAGTATTTATATTGTTTATATAAATTTATTATAAAAAATTAAACTAGAAAATAATGCCGTTGGTTATTGTTGCAAATATATGATATAACTAAAATTTATCAGAAGTATTTACATTTTATGATATTTTGTTTAATATTATTTCATGAAATTTTATAAAATGAATTCTAAACAAATAAATGAAAATTGTATTGTATGATTTTTAAAGTAAAAAACAATTAAAAATATATCAACAAAAAATATAAATGTAATCCTTTTTTTAAATTACACTTGTATCTATAATCTAAATATTATAGTGAAATCACACGACTATACTCAACGATTGTTTCTTCATATATGCTCGAGTACTGACATATATGATTAGACAATTTTTGAAACTAAGAACAGCTATTACATCGACAGTTGCCCACGTAATGAATGGTTAAATTCCAGTAGTTAACAATCTTTATACATCAACGGTAGTTTCCTAATCAGCCTAATTAGGAGTTCCTCATTTGCTAGCCACTGATATTCGAATTATTTCATCATTCAAACCGATCAAAATTTTACACTTTGGAACTTTTTTCTCTACACTTTTATATTTTTTGTCACTGATTATCCTAATTTTACTACCTGATTTCTTCATTATATAGAAACATAATATAATATATGTATTCTATAATGTAAATGCAAACTTGTATTGGCTGATTATTATATAGTTATATCAAATTTCTTTTTTTTATTCTTCACCTGTGTATTATAATTTGAATCTATCTATATCATAATATGAACAAGCTCATATTCATATTGATATATACTAGAACAACAGAACAACAAGCCTTAAAAAATATAATAAATTATTATAAATTCATGGGCTTCAAGAATGAAGAAAATCATATATTGTCAGTGAATATAGATTGTGCATTTTATTTTACACGTTATTTTCACTTATAAATTTACAAAAAATATATATTGCAATATATAACTATATTGTTTTATATACACAATAAATTAAATATAATTTAGAAAGTTATATGTACGAATCTCTGTATCTTGAGTTATAAAGAAATGTTATAATTAAAGATGTATTGTAGAGTAAATTTAATATATAGTATAGAATACAAGATAAAAAAATTCGTTATTGTCTAAGTAGATTAAATATCCCAAATAAATGTAACAAAAAAGTGAAGATCATATTTTTAAGCAATATTTTTAATCATATACTACTATTTGTACGGTTCTAAATACAAATATATTACAAGTTTTTTGTACAAGAGTCGAGTAAATACCCACAAATTTAATTCTTCATCAATGATAGTAAAATATTACTACTATGCTAATAATCAATAAACATTACTGAATGTTTAGCAATATAATTATGATGATATTATAATTGATGCGAAAAATAATAAAATTATATTATAATCATATAATTTTATAAATATATATACATTTAAAGAATAATAAATCTTAAAAAATGAGGCTTGTAGAACAATATATTCAAATTCAAATATTTTTGAAAAATATTGATCATGTACTCCTATAAATGAAAACTCATACATTTTAGGGAATATATTTGTATAATTCCTTATTAGCACTATATTAATAGTAATTTAATTTCTAAAAAAGTATTGTTTTAATTATTTCAGCCTTAAAACATTTGATTATATTTAATATCATTTAATATATTATATTTTATTATATTATATAATTGTATTATGTAAGAAGTTACTTTTTATTTTAAATATTGTTAATTTATTAAAAATTATTTTTAAAACATTATAACTTTTAACCTTTTGATTATATATTCGTATACCAAAATAAAATAAGTTTTTATATTGGTAAGTCTTAAAATTGATACGTATCCTAAAAAGTGCGTAATATTAAAAATATTAAATTATTCGATATTGGTTATAATTTAGTAATTTCGGGAAAAGAGTTGTTTATATAAAGACAGTATATTAAAGGTATAACTATATGATTTTTAATAATAAAGTATTTATACATTACAATGTTACTTACTTAAAATGTTAATACAATCAGGAATTCGAACATTTTTGCAGAAACCTATTTTAAAAAATGTATTGTAAAAAATAAGCAGTCATTTTACATGGAATATTTTTTATATTGTAATGAATTAACAATGTTTATTAAGTTTTACTATATATCATCATTGATTAAGGAATAATTACAAAATATTTAAAAGAAGACTTTTAAATATATATGATGTCCATTAATAAAAAAGTTGTAAAATTAAATTGAATATTAATCTGAATTAATCTTGATTCTTACAAATCCAAGAAAATATAAAAAAAAGATTATTAATTAATTAAAAAGTGGTATTTCATAAAAATAATATTCTTTATCTACAAATGGAGATATAAGTCAATAAGTATTCGGAATCCCGGAACGAAATAAGAAAACACTTTATTAAGCTACAATATTTTAATTCTACTAATAATCTTTTATAAATATATTTTTTTAATTCGTTCATACAACTCGATGTGTAACTTCATAGAATAAATAATAAATAAAAGTATTTTAAGTATTTTTTTAAAGCATTATATTTCATTATTGCTAAATTTAAATAAGTATATTCTATCATTAAATTAAATTAATTTGGTTTTTCAGTCAAATTTAGGATAAATTTGAAAAATAATTCGCTAGATAACTACTGTATTTTTAACATTGTATATCGCAGTGTATTTTACTATGTTTATCATTATATTATTTTGTCCGATACTTTAATTATTTATCATAACCATTTTTATCTAATAAAAAATGGAAATTATTACTAATCGTTAATTTTGCATGATGCTTGTATATAACGACATTGCATCAAACTATTTAAAAATAATGTTCAAGAAAAATAATATTTCTGTTTTCTAATACATTTTAAAAAATTATAGAAGTATGCACATTTACTTAGATATTGGGTTTGTTACTTAATTATGGTCATAATTTTATTTATTTAATGATAGATTATGTATAATCTCGTTTATCCGATTTATTATCATTTGGAGCCACATAATGTACAGTAAATTACTTAGATGAATACTTTTTTTAATCAATTCATCTAGTAATACTTGCAATTTCAGTAGTCGGAGTTATTTACACAACTATTATGTATATATAATAGTACATTAATGTCAGACTACTTAGATTGATGTTATATATATATATATATATATATGTACGTACGTATGCATGGATATATGTATAACTGCATATATGCATATATGTATATAAGTATGTATATATGTAGATATATTAATTGTATCAAATATGTTAATAATTTCAGTGGTAATTCATTGCAAATCTTTATATATCAACTTTAATAATTAAATAAATGAAAATATTATTTTAACAAGCAGAACAAAAAAGAAAAAAGGATACGTGAAAAATAAATAGAAAATAAAATTGGTCTTTGAAATACTAAATACGTTATTTACTATTCAGATTTTCTATTTAATGTACCTGTGAAAAAATTGAGTCATAAACAATATTAAAAAGTCAAATAAAAATAATTGTAGTTGCATTAGAATTTATTTTAAATACAAATTATATGTTTAGTTTAAGTACAGATAAAATTACTATATTAATTAATATCCTGTTGTTATATTGAAAGTACGTTATATACATTCCATTGGAGATAGAATTTTAATTTTTTCATTATATCAGATACAATCGACAATTTGCATATTATAATTGATTAATATTTTTTGTTGTTTTGTATATATTATAATTTGTTTACATTACTGAAATTAATTAAATATTTAAAATATTGAAAATTATATATTTATTCAAAAACTTAATCACTAACTACGTGTTTCGTTTTGTTCTAGGTAAGTTGTGACTGGAAAATTCTTCTGAGTAATTCAACAATATATTAGGATCCTTATTCAAAATGACATTTCGTTGCGTACAAGCTTTCCAAAGCCTTGGAAGTAGTGATTGCGGTACGTCATGGGTAAGTTAATGTTCATTTCATTTTAGACTATATGACTTTAAATATGCTTTAGAATGCATTTAAAGTATTCAATGATAATTTTAACTGCAGAATATTACAATTACAATAAAAGTTTTTTGATATTTTATAATGTAAGATATTATAAATAATAATAATTTTTATATAAATTAATTAATTCATTGCTTTCACTTAACTGTTATATTACTTCCCCCTATCTATCTAGCTATCTATCTTTATGAATCTCTCTTTGACTGTCTTTTGCTGTAAATCAAGTAAATATCAAATAAATTTTATTCATAGATTACTTACTTCATCTTTCGTTCTTTATAATAAAAATTATCATACTGTCACTAGTATTGGAAATTTACTTTTTCAATTTCACCCGACAATTTATATTTTTACTTTAAAAATAGAAATTAAATTACTTTAAAAAGATTAACAAACACAACAAATGAGAAGAAAAGGGCAAAAGAAAAGCCACGAAATCTTCGTAAACTTTCATTAAGCTTGAAGTTTTCTTATTTAATTAATTCTTATTAATTAAATAATCTTGATTACAGTAATCTCGGAAGTAAGTAAAATAATGAAAGAATAATGGAGAGAGAAAAGAAAGAAAAAATAAATAACGTGAAAACAAAAAAATTTCAATATTCTAAAGTTGAAACCGATGTATTAAATATTCTATAAAAATATTATACATAAAAATTTGCTTTACAATCTCGTTTGCTAATGATATGTTAACTGTGCCAGCTCCACATAAATAAAGTGCGCAAATTCACGTAGCCACCCATTTGTAAAATTAAAAAAGGATCTAAATATGAGACAATAACAATATATATGAGACTGACAATTTCACAGTCGTATACAGTTCCAACCACAAAGGTTCAAAACGAATGAAGGGGCGGGATATAAACAGGACAATAGTTGAGCAGCTCCAGTAACACAACGTATATATATAGGTATGCTGGCGCATTTATTAATCGCCAGTTTTGCACACCAGTGGGCATAATATTATTGTATTAAATGAAAATACCCGCTAAACACAGAACTTTGTAATAAAATTTGAAAATGTACCTAGATAAAGTTTAAAAGTGCACCTAGATATGTACTCTAGTTAACTTTTTTTTAACAGTTTAAATATTTTTTTATCCAACTCAACTTATTTGTTTTGCAAACATTGTTACAACAAGTATATTGAAAAGTACATTAAAAAGTATTTTTGAATAAATCATAATAATAACACTAATTAGTATTGCTATTATAAGTATTTTTTAATATTTTTTATAATTAATATAACTATAGCTTAACCTTATTAAAAAATACATTTTTCAGTAAATAAAATAAAATAAAATATCGATTTTTTTCTTACAAATTCTGAAATTCCCAGGGTATGTGGCATATTTATATCTATTCATCTTTAAAAATTTTATACATATTACGAAAACTATATTTATTACAAAAATACATTTATAATTTATGTTATTTTATTTTTAAATTCATTGTATTCTTGTGATTAAATAAAATTATTTATTATAATAATAAAAAGATCAAAATAAGAAGTATATAATATATTAATATAAATTAAATATATTCCTTATTACCATAGATTTTTTTTATAGTTTCATTATTTATTTTTTTAAAGAAATAAACAGAATTGTAAATGTCATATAATTATCACTTCTTAATTCAACAAATCCACCCGTCACATGATAAATATATATTTGTCCGTGCTTCCAAATTGTAGAATTAACCTAAATTTGTATCTGGATCAAGTGGATTATAAACTACTAATTTCAGAAATCTTTATCATATGTCGATAATACTCGATAAATGAACGGTATTTTTAATATATATTTTATACATTATTTTTTAATAATGAATAGTTGCAGATATATTTTCAAAGATTAAATAAAAAAAAATTCTATCTGAATATTATTTTCAAATCTATAATTACCGTACTTATTAATAGTATTTTAAACGTTATTTAAAAAAAAAATTCTGCATGGCCCATAGTATGTATGGTCATTCTCTGTAAATATAAATTAAATAATTCGAATATTTAAATTGATTTATTTCTTTATAACGTATTTATTATAATTAGATACATATAACCAAATATATATTTTTTATCTTCAAACTTCCAAAATTCGAAGGCAAACTCGAAGTATAAATTTATATTTTATTTTGAATAATTTTATGGAACTACTAATGCACCAAAGTTTACATTGATTCAAAAGCAATAAATTTTCTTATCGAGATTTATCTCCAAATTATTAAGAACAATATATATATTAATAAAATTGTAATAAAGTACAATATAAAGTATTTACAAATTATATGGATTTATTTATATAATTTATATAATTTAATTAATATTTATTTTATTTTAACAATTATTTATGATTAAAATAAAAAAAATTATTCTTTAAATATAAATATAAATATTGAAAAAATTAATAAATTCCGTTAAAGATTGTAATATTGTACCTCATCTTTTTTACAAAACTTAAAATGTCTAATACCTATCGTATTATCTAATATATTATCTAATATAGTCGTATATATAAGTAGTAAATTAATCCCTTTTCACAGCTAATTTCAAAGTTCACTATTGTATCTTCAACCTAAAACGGATGTGTTTTATTAAAAAGAAAGAAATATCGAGAAGTTAAACAAATTTTATTCAAATTTTTAATTCGATTATGAATTTAGTTTTGACATACGCTATACACGTAACTTTACTCCTTTAATTATAATTTCGTTTTTTATATTAATCTAAACATACAGAATTCAACAATACACTCTATTAAAAATATATTTATATAATATAAATATAATTTACACATATATGTTATAATATAATATATTTTATATTAATATAAGTTAGACATATAAACTAAAATTTCTTGCACATAGATTAATTATTTTCAGCGACGTGTTTATACCTATTTGCATATCAATTAAAATAGTTTTCCGCCAAAATTATAAAGACAAAACTTTGAAAAGTTCGATCATATAAATATGTATAAGTAGATATTCTTCTTTTCACACTATGTAACCATGTAGGTACGCACATATTACAGATATACAACTGTATATAAGCATGACCATATTCATCTTATCTAGCACTAGAACTGAATTTATTATCGGCATTTTTTATTTGGCAGTTAAAAATCGTTAGATTAATTAAAAAACTTTTGAATTATTTGTTTAATAAATTTTTTCGACAGTAGTTTCGCTTTCTTTTTGTGTGAGACAAATAATTGTAAATTAATCTCATTTATATATAAATATCCAATAAAGGATACATCAATTCAATTAAAAAGTTTATTATTTTTTATATTTAAGTAAATTTTGCTTTAAATATGTATATAATATATACTTTGTTAATAGAGAAAATATATTTAAAAAAATAATAGAACCATAACTGAGTATCGAAGATATATAACATCAATTTTTTGCTGTTTCTAATTATAAATAATTTTAATACATTTATAAAAAGAAATCAAATAATATGTATTACGAATAATATATATATATATATATATATATATATATAATTTTACTAATTTCATTTTATAAGTAAGAACAATGTCAATTATTATATATAATCTAAGGCTGATAGGAATTACATTTAAAAACAACAATTTAATATTAAATTAAATATAATAAAATGTTAACAAATGTATTTTTGAAGTTATCTTGTCCCCTGATTTAATATTGTATAAATTGTATAAATTGTATAAATTACTATAAGAATTAAATATTCGATTCAAAACCCAAAAAAAAAAATTAAATCTTTTACAATATTCAAGTGTTTTCTATTTGTAATATATTTGTATTATTTGTACTTCTAGTTCTAATATATGTGGTTAATTTTTGCAGCTCTTATCTGTATATAAATCGATAGATTTTAAATATACATGAAAACTATAATTAAATAAAAGAAAGTTTAAAAAATAATAGAAAAAAATAAAATAAATTCCAATTTATAAAGTCATTATTTGACGATGATTCAGAACTCGCACTCATACAAATACTGCAAAAGTAAATTTTTTTATTTTAACTATTTATATTTTCGATAAAAACCGTCGTTTAAAAAAGAAGTCCAATGTAATATTTACATGTCGTATTTCCGAATTCTGAACATACTATTATTCTTTGTCCTTTAGTCGACTAATGAAAATATGAAAACAAGAAAGAGATAGTTGTCCACCAATCGAGTATGATGCATTGTCAAGACAGTGTGGAGAAAGGAGGAGGCCCAATAGTGTAACAGACGAATAAAGAGAATGTATAGAGAAAGGGAAGGACAAAAGAGGGGCGGAAAAGAGCAATGCACACGTACCTCTAGGCAACGGAGTCAGGGTCTGCCTCGTGTTTTCAACCTAACAGCCTTGTCTGTAAGAAAGAAACAGGCCCCTGATCACCCTCACTGTTAATCATACTTGCTAGAGTAAAGTCAATATCATGTACAACCAAACTATTATTTAATTTTCTCTTAAAATTCTTATTTATGATTTATATAATGTATACTTAATATTTGAATAAAACAAATCAATTTATATTCTTATTGAGACTGATTTACAATAAAATATATTTAAATAATAAATAAAAGTATAAAAGAATATATAATATGAAGTATAAAAAGTATTAACAATCTAATATTGATTATATTTGAAAACTATATAAAAATATATATGATAGATAAAATAATAAGATTTATAATTTATAGATAATAAAATTTACAAAACATAATTAATTAAATAATTATTTAGTCTTATACTAAAATATATATACATATATACAAATATATGCAGGAACATAAAAAATTGTTATAAACGCATTTGCATATATTCTATGCAAATATAATTTGAATAAAATGCTCTCCTAATATGAGTGATCGATTTTTAAAAAACATTTTATTATTTAATACAACTCAAGTAGTGAATTTTTTATATGCATTTATAGAAATTCTTTTGTATATGTTTTCTTATAAA